GACCTAGAGTCGTGGTGTGTGATCCGGATAGGAGCACACTAGGAAGTCTCGGGTGTATGCGGATGGGAGGGGTACCTTGGTTGATGTTCTAGGAACACGCCTTGGATGAGACCCATAGGCTTATATGCCGAGGACGTTGCGTGGTATTGGTAGCTACCATTCCAGCTTCGTCGTATTTTATGTCCTATGATCCTCGTTTTCACTAAATCCCTTGTTGTATCCTGTTTTCAAGAAGTTATTTTATATTATTTATATGCGTCGAAGTGAGCCATTGGGCGAAGTTTTCTCCAGAACCTCTAGGTTACTGAGATATATTCGTATATCTCACCCCGTCTTGGGGGCTTTATTTCCGGAGGTAGCAGTGGTGCAGGAGCGGCGGGCAAGAAGCCCGCAGGATGATTAGCTGGAGTTTTTAGCTGGAGTTTTTGCAGTATTTTGCATTTTGGTGGCCACTGGGCCTAGGCTAGACTTAGGGCATGAACATTCCATATGTATGTAGGATGAGATTCACTGTCATATTTGTTCATGTTATTTTGCCTAAGTCTAGTACATATATCATTTTGAGGTTTTTACAGTATGTTGTATTTAAAGACTTGGAGTTGTAAAATGTAATATGTATGTGGAGAATGTAAAATGTATCTGAATACTGATATAATATGTAAGCATGTAATATGATGGAAGGACAATAGGTCTATTTTAGGAATATGATTATGCGTATGTTTAGAAGATGCATGCAATTGGACTTTGATGATTGAAACGTATTAAGTATTAATCGAGGAAGAAATGTGATATGTATTATATATGTAAAATAAACTGTGAAGGGTTGTAAGTACCCCAAGGCATTGTTGGTCCTTGTGTGTGCCACCCACTGATTATTAGGTACCATTTGAGGTCATAGATCACTTGTATAAATTTGGGAAATGTTGGAAAAACAAAGGAAACTCAGGGGAAATTTCTAGAAACTGACAGTTTTTAGTTGAAATTCGGTAGATCATATCTCCCTCCAAAGAAATTCGATAGGGACGTACCATACGCCATTTTAAAGATTGAGATGTCCCCTACATGGTGTTAAAATATGAGCAAATTATGGGTTGCAAGCAGTCCTGTAGGATTTATTGAACTCGGACTGTCCAGAACCCCATATGCAGGGGCTGTTTCTGGCGGTTTTTGGGAAATTAATTCCCGCTTCGTTTCTCAGTCATATTTAGCGTATGATATATCAAATTGAAGCTTGAGGTGTATAGTTTGTAGTATAAATATTTGAGAGAAATTGGATGAAATTATTCGCTGCAGTAATTCGTGGAGTGAGAGGTGTTTTGAGCTGTTTCGGGGTTGGTTGGTTGTTTTGCTTGTCCAACTTCAAACGGCGATATCCGGAGCAAACGTACTCCGATCATAGCGTGTGATAGCTTTTTAGAAAGGGAATTAAGTAAGAAAAAAATATAACCTGAGTGGAAGGTCTGAATTTTTGTGGTGCGTTCGCAGTAATTTAATTAGTGAACCATGTTCGAGTAAGTAAAAACGTAAAAGTTAGTAATTGGCTAAGTAGGTTTATGGGAACCCCTTAGTAACTTATAATAAGTAAAGTAAGTTATAAAAATAGTTTAAATAAGTCTTCCGCAAGAGTTTACGGTTACGGTCACAGCTTTTAATTATTACGCTTTTTATGTTTTAAAGGCTCGCGTAATAATCGGAAAAAGTTTATTCGCATTTTTATAAATGAATTGTTGTGATTGTAACTGCGCTTAATATCATAATTAATGTTAACAATACCGGTGTACAACGGGCTGTTACACAATGGGTCCTCAAGGATCTTCCACCCCAAGCTCACTTACATGTGCAATATAAGTTTTAAAAGCAGTAATTCAATATCAGTTCCAAAATCAGTGCAATGCAGCAGATAATCATGTCATGTGTGTTATAACTATTCTACTGATCAGAGAAGTGCAGGAATACGTCTATTACCCACACAGTACCAGCCCATGTTGTACCCGCCTCCAGTACCACCCCATGGCTTCCTGGCTAGGTGAAACACCACATACATATCATAAGCATTTTGCACTTAACAGCTCTATAGCATTTCAATAAAATAGTACATGAAAACACATCATGCATATAACCATCCTCCCATGGGACATAGTGGAACATACAATGGCTAAACCGAGGACACAAAAGCTTACCTTGCAAGCTAACAATCCAAACCAATAGTCCAACCAAGCTCAAAGTCCACACATAGCACAATCACAATCTGTTTGGACCAATAATAATATCAATATTCATACTCTGCAAGCATACGATATAAAGACAACGTCTTTCCTTAACGTTTCTAAGTCTTAAGGCTTCTCACAAAGCCACAAGCTCTTAATCCCTTGATTCTGACTTAACTTAATCATTACAGAAGTTCAACTTCCACAATCTAGGGTCCACAAACCCATAACTCAGTTTTGTATGAACAGTACTGTTACTGTTCTCGAAAACTCAGAATATCTGGATATTTGTCGGGGTCATATCCAGATATCAATATTCGGATATCATATCCGGATATCTCAAAGACCATATTCGGATATCAATATCCCGATATCATATCCGGATATCCATATCCGGATATTTCGCGACAGAATGTAGTTTTTGCATTTCGCGAGATATCACTCCAAAGGTTGGGTTTTTAACCCATTCCAACGTTAAAGCATGCATTTTTATTATGTTTTAGGTTCATATACCAGTTGGTTACTTGTTTAACTCATTAAACATACCAAGACTCCACTTTTACTCGTTAAAACTCAAGATCAAAGGTGGTAAAGCTTACCCATGCTCAAAACAGAGGTACAAAGGCTCTTGGAGCTCACCAAACAGCTCCTCAAGGTTCTGACTTCAATGTGCACGAAAATGGCACACTAAGGAGGGTCTTTTTTCTTCAAAGTTCAGTCTTTGAAGTTCAAAACATCAAGACAAGGCTCTCACAACTCAAACCACAAAGTCATCCCCTTCCCAACACACACACAGCACCCACCACTCAGAATGTGACACCTTTCTCACTCACCAACGCTCACACCCAAGTGTTTACTTGATTAGAGGTGAAGAAATCAAAGAAAATAGGTGACTTGGAGAGTTTCTCATGTAAGGGAGGCCATGGGAGAAGGGTGGCAGCAGATCCTTCAGAAAACAATACGTTGGAGGCACAAAATCTGACTAGAAGTGTGTGCCAAGGCCTTATATAGGCCACTTAAGTTTTAATCACACTGTATTAGCACTAATAGCTACGCTTATCATTTTAATCCCAAACATAGGATTCTGAACCTACTCATTTTTCTAAGATTTATCATATTTTTATTTTATTTTTCGCAATACCTTTCTGATACGCGCTTTTCCATAGCCCGTATCAATTCTGGCACCAGTTCTCATTATTTTAACTTGAAACTTGTTTTGCAAGTCCTATATGTTATTCTAGTGACATATACACACTTTTCGTAATTTTCCGGGATACTTCACCAGTACGCATTTATATCGTGTAGCAGAACCGGTATCTGCGCTTTTCGTCAAAAAGCGACTTTCAGCATTATTAATCACTAACTATAATTATTTAAGCCTCAAAATAATTATTAGGGTCAATTATGAAATTATTTTCTAATTTCATATAATTAATTAGTTAACTTCCTTAATTAACAGTGCGGGTTCTTACAATCACCACCACCACCACCATCTTAACATGACCACTGCCACCATCATTGCCGTTTTCGTTGTACCATCATCGCTGTCGTCACCACCACCAACACCACAACGACGATGCCACCACAACATTTGGGACTTGAGAGAATAATGTAATAGAAGTGTTAAACTCAATCTTTATTCTTTGAATAATGTTTGTGTGTCGATCGCTGGGGAAAGGGGGAATAAGTGTTGGGAGAAAACATTTAGATTAAGAGTTGATTGTGTTTGATCCTCTCCAGTACCGTCTTTGGGAGTGGTTTAAAGTTTTAATCTTGAGTCCCATCCCGAATTGGACTAGCCGCAAAGCGATGAACCGATTAGAATATTTTCAAAAAAAAAAGAAGTTAAAATGGGAATTAAAAATTAAAATCCAAATATAAATAAAAGAAGTAATCAATAAAGCTAACGTGTTTTTTTAAAACAAAAGTTTTGATAAGAAGCTATTTTTCTTAAGAAACTAGACGATGCTTATCAAAGTTTTGATAAGAAGCTATTTTTCTTTTTTGAGAGAAAATAAATTATTTGAAGTAAATGAAAGAAAGAGAGAGGTGCAAAAAAAGGAATATAATCAAGTTTAATTTGAGGGCTCACCTTGGCTTTTTGACTATTGTACTCCTTAATTAATAAAAAATTACGATCTTACCCTGTATCAAAACATATCATTCATCTATCTTTGTTTTATGGTTAACCCCGTAAAATATCTGAATGTATGACTTGATACCCGAGTATATTTTGAAAAAAAGCCCAACTCTAGCACAATTCAATGGGACATCAACTCAACAAAAATATAGCTACTTCAAAATAATGGGACATCAACTTCATGCTCATTTCTCATATAAAGGAGCTTATATGTCAATTAAGTTCACTACTCAATGCCTATGTTGTGACCCAAAAGCAAGACCTCGGATGAATAAAGTGATTGAAGTATTGAACTATTTGCCTGATTGCAAAGACTTATCTTGTTCTTCCCTCTCATTTCAGGGTTTGCAAGTAGGCTCCACCAACCATGGAGCTAACAAGTATCGCCTCAGAATGAGTTCATCATCAAGAAACATTCCAAGTCTCGAAATATCACTGGCCTCTGAGCTTCCTCATGCAGAAATGCAAGCATAATTTTTATTATGTGATTCCAAGGAAGAGGCACAAATCCTACAAATATGTGACAGTATAATCACTTACAAAATGTAGTATACATTCATTAACAAAGCCACTTTTCTTTCTCCTTTCTTTAATAAACTCTAAAAAAAGGCTATAATAAAAATTTGAATGTTACATAAATTAAAAAGACATACTCTTAAACTGGTGATTCTCCGAGCTTCCTCGAAGCATGAACTCATATACTAGTACCCTTTTATCATCTTCAATGCAATAACCAATCAATTTAACTAGATTTGGATGACGGAGTTCCCTAAGATAATTAACTTCAGCCAGCAATTATACATGAAACAGTGAACATATATTAAGTGATGTAAATCATAGAACTTTGCCAAAATAAAATAGTTTATATTAAAGGTTAATTATTTAGCATAGTAACTTACAAGCAATAACCTATGACCCTGAAGTCCATTCTGGTTTTGAGTCTTCACCAAGCAAATTTTGAGGTTAGAAATTGCTTGTTGCCACCTTGAGCTCATTGAAGGAGAACTTCTGAAGATTGGAATAAGCACTTAGCTCCTCGCTTAAGCTGGAAGAAGAAGTAGCAATTCCTTTTAACTTGGGAGATGATCTAGCTTGCTATTCTTGAATTATTAATTGTTTCTTGAGGATACATGAGCAGCAACTGGTTTCTCTCTAACATTTTCATTGGTTGTTGATCTTCTTCCTTCTGATTTACAAGGATAAAAAAAAGACATCAGTTCATAACGTCACACTTGAGAATGAGATTAAGTATACAGATTCATGCCATCACAAAAAGTAATGGCTAAACAATTCCATTAAAATCAAAAAAATAATAAACAATCACTGCACCTATTATAAGTATATATTAAAAGTGAATTATTAATTAAAATTAAAAAATGATGTAAACTCTTAACAATAATAGTTAAACAAGGTATATGTAGAATACCATCTTTTGTGTTATTGCCACTAGAGGAGCCTCCTTCTTCAGCTTTAAACCACAAAGCCGTGCAACTTAACAAAAACCTTAGTTTCCACCAAAACCGTGGTCTTTGTCCTTCCTATGTTGTTGTTGCTGTTGTTAACTAAACCTAAACCAGAAATTTCAAAAATAATTAAATAAAAATATATAATACTAAAAAATATTGAGAACATTCATAGATCTATAAGGATCTGAAAGTAGAGTCACCTTAACAATGAGAAATTCGACTTGCTTTGAGATATTATACCATGATTTGAAGCTCCGGATTAAGAAAGGAACCGAGTTCCAAGCCTATTAAATTTTTAACCAGGAAAGATAAACGTTAGGGTTTATCCTAATAGAATAGACTAACAGAGTAGTGAATAAAAATGAAAAATACATTTTAGAAAAAAAAGATAATAAAAAACTCAAAAATAATTTTACTTCATTTTGAAAATAATATGGCTAATCAGGGGTATTTTCGGATTTTTATCAACATTATAATAAATGTGGTTAAACTAATGTCCTTATAGGCCTTGTTTTTTGTAGTGGTTGTTGTTTCTTTCCTTATACTTTCCCACATTTGAAGCTCCAACGTTCATTCCACGAGGACTTGCCATATCTTCAACTCAGAACCCTAAACTGAGTTGACATATAAACTTCAACACAAAAACTCGAAATAGAAAAACAAACAAACAAACAAACTAGAGGTGGCAATATGAATTGAGTCCGGCGGGTCAACCCATATTCAAGTTTTGAAAAAATAAAAAAGACTAGCTAAATAGGAAGCCTAGGTAATTAGATTTGTGTTGTTTTTTTGCTCAAACTAACTATTCACAAATACCACTTTGGGTGTGGTATTTTAGGATAGGTGGGTAAGTGATATTTAAGGAAACCAAGTTATTGATGTTTGACTCTCATTTTTAGGTAGTGGTTTGTTTAAAAAATATTGATAATTGGGTGTTTTGGTCAATTAAACCAATTTTTTCATCACTATTTTACATTTAACCAAACATAGACTTTGCAAATCTACATAGATTTTTTCAGTAATATTTCGGTGAACCAAACATCTTTATTTAAACTTTTCCATCAAACTCATTTTCCTACTATTTCCCCATTAATTATGTTTTTCCAGTAAAAAAAAAATTTCTCATCTACCAAACGCTCCCTGAGAAATTGAATATGAGAAATGGGGTGAGTCCACTAAGGCTAGAAGTGTAATTTACATTGAGCAAAACAAGACCCTGGCTTTGGTGAAGAGAGAGAAAGAGAGAGAGAGTGAGAAAGATTCAAGGGCAAAGATGAGAGATGAAAGTGAGGTATGTATGAAAAAGAGGAGGGAAAGAAAGAATGGATGAAGGAGATCCCCAAGTTAATTAACTTCAGCCTACAATTATACATGAAACAGTGAACAAACATTCAGTGATGGAAATCATAGCATTTTGCCTAAAAAAATTGCATTTTATTGATAGCGTTAGCATGTAACTTACAAGACATTTCCTATAGCCCTCAAGTGCATTCTGGTTATGAGTCTTTAGAGCAACTGAAAGCCCCATTCCAGGTCTTGCTGAAGAGTTCTCATTCTCACTGATCCAACCTTTGTTAACACATCGAAATCCACACTCACCAAGTAAATTCTGAGGTTTAAAATAGCTTGTTGCCAACATGAGCTCAATGAAGGAGAACTTTGAAGATGGGAATAAGCTTTTAGCTCATCGCTTAAGCTTGGAGATGATCTTCCAATTCCTTTTAACTTGGGAAAAGATCTTGTTGTTTGTGAATTAATTTTTCTTGTGGAATTGCTAACATTGCCATTGGTTGATCTACTTCCTGCTGATTTACAAGGGAAAAAAATGGACATTGATTTGGAATCGAATTGTGGCACTTGAGAATAACAGATTAGCTATTAAATAGTCATGCCCTCACAAAATATAGTTGTTAAACAGTTTGTACCTCTCTTTGACTTATATATATGATACTAGTCGAATGTATAAAACAATTTTATTTAAGTGTATATTAAAAGTGGTTTTTTAATTAAAATTAGGGAAAAATGTTTCTGCAGTTACTGCAGACAAGTTATCTGCATTTATTCTCATAGCGACGTCGTTTTGGTATTGAAATCTTAAAAAATTATAAATATAAAGACTATTATAACTCTGAAATAAATTAAAATTACAAAAACACCATGATTTCCTCCCCAAAACAATGTTGTATTGGGCTTACTGCAGATAACTTATCTGCAGTAACTGCAGAAAAAGCGAACCTTTAAAATTAAGTATAAAGTGAAATTTTAACTATGCTGTCGACATAAAATTCAGCACAAAACTCAAATAGGAAAAAACAAAGAATGGGAGAGAGCAAATTAACTGCAAGTCAAAGGCTTACTCTAGATATCATAAATTAAAGAAGACCAAAGTGGATTTGAAGAATAAATCAACAAAAAAATAATATTTAAAGATACGAGATGGAATAGAAGCAATTCAGATTCAAGAATCATAACAATGATAACATAATGAGATGGAAGAGAGAATACTAACCCGTCATAACATAATCAACGGTTGCATAGCCATCTGTTCCCATCATTTGAGTTGTAACTTGAGTTAAGTCTCTCTCTTGAGCATCTTTAGCAAGCCCAAAATAGGAAAATTTTGAATTGTATTCCTAAAACAGAAAATTGTTAAGATGGAAGGAAAGTTGTGTTGAAAATTAAACTAGTATATAATATTCAACATTCCACTTACCAAATCCAATAGAATATTAAATGTTTGGCAGTCTCGAAATATCATTGGTCTTTCAGCTTTCTCGTGTAGAAATGCAAGGTCCTTTGTAGCAGCAAGCACAATTCTCATTTTGATTGACCATTGAAGGGACACATATCCTGATATTATATCACAACATTATAAATGAGGATATAAATGGAATAAAAAAAGTATCATTTCGATAAAGTTGATTTTTTATTAAAAATAAAGAGAATCTAGAATATGCTTCTCATAAGAAGCTATTATTATTTTATGAGGAAAAAAAATATTTGATGAAAACCAAAGCAATAAAGAGATGAGAATAAAAATAAACATAGTTGAGTTTTCAAGCTAGGCTTAATACCTTTGTTATCAACTGAGACTTGAACAAATTCAAATTCACTTTATGTTATTTGAAACTCAACTATTTCTTTGGATAGTATTATTTGAGTCTTGGGGAAAAAAGAATAATATGATAAAAGTGTCAGGAAAAGGGTATAAGGTTAAGAATTAAAATAGAAATTAAAAATTTACAACGGGGATAATAATGAAATAAAAAAAAGTTAATTTTTTGATAAAATTAGACATTTTTTAAGAGAGAGAAGCTAGAATATGTTTTTGGAAGATTTGAGAACAAGTTATTCTTCTTCTTTTTTAGGAAAACAAAAAAAATATTTGCGAAAAATAAAAGTAAATGAGAGATGGGAATAAAAGGCATTACATTCGGGTTTGGGTCTAAGCTTCCTTTCTTAGTTATCAAATAAGATTTGAGTAGATCCAAATTTTTCCAATGCTAGATGAAAGTAGATCTTATTTATGTGGATAATATTTTGCATTACGTTGAGGAAATGGGAGATAATGTGAGAGAAATTTTGGGAGAAGAGTATTTGATTAACAGTTAAAATTTGAATTAAAATTTTTAAATGAGGATATAAATGAAATTGAAAAATTATATTTTCAATAAAGTTGAATGTTTAAAAAAAAAGCTAGAGTATGCTTTGATAAGAAAAAGCATTTGAAGGAAACAAAAGTAAGAGGGAAGTGGAAACTAAAAGAAACATAGTTGGTTTTGGGGTCAAGATTCATACCTTAATTACTAAATGAGATTTGAGTAGATCCGAACTATTTTTATGTTTGATGAAACTCGATCTCTATTCTTTAGATGATATTCTATGCACTGCTAGAAAAGGGGGAATTGTGTGAGAAAAATGTCAGTAGAAGAGTACTAGGATGGGAGTTCAAATTAGAATTAAAAAATTTAAATGAGGATATAAATGGAACAAAAAACTATGTTTTTTATAAAGTTAATTTTTTTTTAGAGAGAGAGAAACTAGAAGATGCATCTCCAAGCTTTGATAAAAAAACAAACTTTACTTGAGGAAAATAAAAAAAAATATTTGAGGAAAACAAAAGTAACAAAAAGGAGCCCACAAAAAGGAATACAGTCACGATCTGGGGCTTAAGCTTCCTACCTTGGTTTTGGGGCTAAGATTCATACCTTAATTGTCAAATGAGATTTGAGCAGAATTGAACAATTCTTATGTTGGATGCTACTCGATCTTTATTCTTTAGATGGTATTCTGTGCGCTGCTAGGAAAGGGAGAATAATGTTAGAGAAATGTCGGGAGAAGAGTATTAGGTTAGGAGTTCAAATTGGAATTAAAAAATTTAAATGAGGGTATAAATGGAACAAAAAATTACATTTTATGTGTTTTTTAAGAGAGAGAGAAGGAGCTAAACTAGAAGATGCATCTCGAAGCTTTGATAAAAAGATTTTTTATTTGAGGAAAATAAAAAAATATTTAAGCAAAGCAAAAGTAACAACGAGGAGCCCACAAAAGGGAATATAGTCACGATTTGGGGCTACGCTTCCTACCTTAGTTATCAAATGAGACTTGAGTAGATCAAAATTCTTCCTGTGATGGATGAAACTTATCCCCGATCTCGAGAAGGTATTCTGGATGCCGCCAGGAAAAGAAGGAAACAATGTTAGAGAAGGGTCGGGAGAAGGGTATATATTAGGTTAAGATTTAAAATTTAATGAAAATTTTTAAATGTGGATATAAATAGAACAAAAATTTAGGTTTTTAATAAAGTGAAGGTTTTTTTTTTTTTTAAGGGAATCTAGAATATGCTTCTAATAAGATGCTATTGTTAATTTTTGAGAAAAACAAAATATCTAAGACTTGAACAAAACGGAATAGTCGGGTTTTCGGGCTAAGTTTCATACCTTAGTTATAAAATGAGATTTGAACAGATCCAAATTTTCCTTATGGTCGATTTTTTATAACACTTATTCCTTTCTCTGAATGGTGTTCTCTGCACCGCTGGAAAAAAGGTAAATAGTGTAAGAGAAGAGTATTTAGGTTAATAATTAAAAATTTTGAATTAAAAATTTAAAATGAGATATAAATGGAATAAAAATATTACCTTTTTGATAAAGTTGAATTATTTTTAAAAAGCGAGAGAGAAAAGCTAGAATATGTTTTTTGTAACACTCCGTGTATACCCGGTTTGTTATCATATCATCGTATTAAGCAGCGCTTGATTAAAATGCGGAACTAACTTTTTCTTTTCAATTATAACATCATTATTATTAACCAAGTTGATTAATTACTCCTTTTTCAAAACAATGCTTGTATGTAAATTGCAAATAAACAACTACTGAAATACCTCATATATAAATGGGTTTCTAGTCACGGAACTACAACACGTAGACCGGACAATATCCTGATAGATTATACAACGCAAGTCTAACTAAACCAAAACACAATCAATGTGGCATGGACAATCCTCATGCACACCAAATAAGGCACAAGCCCAACAGAGTCTCAACAAAGATAACAATGTAATGAAGATAAAGCATAGTCAGCAACCAGACAATCAGTAATAACAGCATGCATCTATCAACTAAGCTCCGGCCTCCTGCCGCCCGAGGTATTAGTCCCTGAGGTACCTGAACCTGAAAATGTGCCCCAAACGTGGGGTGAGATCTTTAAAAAGAAATCTCAGTAAGACAAGGGGTCCTCAAGGACTCTTCCGCCCCAAGCTCACTTACAAGTATAATATAAGTTCAAAAACAGTAATTTCAATGCATGTTCATATTAAGGCATTTAAATCATGATAGTATAATCTCTTGCTCAACAAGCCAAATACTACAACTCATTAATCATGTGATGTATGCAAATGTGGTTCGACTGCCAGGGAACAGGATAGGGTTTATGCTCGTCTGCGACCTATCTAAACATAAGAGTCGCAGTCCTATGCCTTACACACCAGAGTCGCAGTCTGATCGTGTAAGTAGTCAACATCACTTTCATACATTACATCAACAGTTAAATTAACATATCTCAGGCATATATCAATGCATATTTCATCTTTCATAAACATACATGCATATAAACCACCCTCCCATGGAGGTCGGTGGAACAAGCAATAGATCAATCTGAGGACCATAAGCTTACCTCTCAAGCTGTCACTCCAAAACTGAGTCCACACTAGCTCAAGGTCCACAAGCAGTACAATCACAATCTATTTAGACCAAAAATCATGTCAATATTTATAATCTAAGAGTCATGACATAACGATAACGTTGTCCTTTTAAGTTTCATGCCATTAGGCTCCTCACAAAGCTGCAAGTCCTTAATCAAATTGATTCTGACTTAGTTAATTATTACAGAGGTCCAACTTAACCAATCATGGGTCCACAAACCCATAATACAGTTTTGTATGAACAGAACAGTCACTGTCTCAAAATTCCCAAAATATCTGGATATGTGTCGGGGCCATATCCGGATATCTCCAACCCCATATCTAGATATCAATATCTGGATATCATATATCCGGATATTTCGCGACAGAATGCAGTTCTGCATTTTCGCGAAGATATCCAACCAAGACTCAATTTTTAACACTTAATCACGTTAAAGCATGTATGTTAAGACCCATTTAGACCAATGGTGGTGTTGGTTGCTTAATCACCTCATTAAACATGTCAAAACTCCACTTTTAACAACTAAAACTCATGAGCAAGGTGATGGTACTTACCACCAAAGCTTGGAACATAAACAATGGTGCTCTTGGAGCTTACCACTCAGCCTCAAAGTTCAGACTACAAAGGTCCACGAAAATAGCAACAAGGTTGGCCCTTTCTTCACCAAGCTCACCACTTGGAGCTCCCACAAACAAGGAAATGGTGACCTCTTCACTAACCAAGAAGTCAGCCCCTTGAATGCACAAAAAACAGCGCAAAGGCTCTCAAGAAGGCACTCACCACTCACCCTATGTGTGCAACAAGTCTACACCATGATAGAGGAAGGTTTTCATGAACAAAATGTGGAGTCTTTAGTGGAGAATGGAGGAAGAAAAGGGTGGCTGCTCCAAAACTTCAGAAATTCTCACGTAGAGATGCTAAGTTTCTGACCTAGAAACTTGTGCCACGTCCTTATATAGTCCACTTAAGTTTTAATTGCACTGTATTAGCACTAATAGTTACGCTTAGCATTTTATTCCCAAACTTTGAATTCTGAACCTAGCCATTTTTCTAGAATTTGACATATTTTTATTTTATTTTTCGCAGCACTTTGCCGGCACGCGCTTTTACGTAGCCGGTATCAGTTCTGACGCCAGTTCTCATTATTTTGACATGAAACTTGAAATACTAGTCCTATATATTATTCTAGGAATATTCATGCACTTATTATAATTTTTCGGGATACTTCATCGGTACGTACTTATACCATGGAGCAGAACTGGTATCTGCACTTTTCGTCAAAAAAGCGACTTTCAGTGTTATTAAACTTTTATATTAATTATTCTTACCTTACCATAATTATTTAAGGTCACTTATGAAATTATTCCTTTAAGCTCATAATTAATTAATTAACTTCCTAATTTAACTGTGCAGGTTCTTACACTTTTGGAAGCATTGAGAACAAGTTTTATTTAGGAAATAAAAAAAAATCGAGTAAAATAAAAGTCATAGAAAGGCTGGAGCAAAAAAGAATTTAGTAAGGTTTTAGGCGTAAGCTTCCTACCTTAGTTATCAAATAAGACTTAAGTATATCCGAATTCTCCCTATGTTGGATGGAACTAAATCTATATTATGCGGATGGTATTATATGTGCTGCTGAGAAAAGAG